GGGCCCCGGCCGGTGGTGATCCACGCGCTGGCGGGGGAGTTTGACATCTACAAGGAGGAGAGCGGCGAGTGTGTCCCCGTCACCTGCGACGAAGTGAGCAACGGCTTCCTCAAGCCCAAGCAGGGTGAGTGATGCCAAGTCCCATGTCCCTCAGGGCCACCCCGTCCCCAAGGCCACCCCATCCCCGCTGAGATGCTCCAGCTCCCGCCGGTGGTACCCGCATCCCTCAGGGACCCCCAGGGCCACCCCTCTGTGCCCTGAGGGATGCCAGGCTGTGGTGGCCACGGGGTGGCACTGTGGCACTGTCCCCAAGCTGTCCCCAAACCTGACGGGTGGCTGTCCCCCTGCCAGCCGCCAGCCCCACGCTGCACCCCGTCCAGAGCCCCCAGACCCGCTTCTGCGTCCTGACCGTGGCCCCCGACACGCTGCCCGCCATCGCCACCATGCTCATCGACGTCCTCTTCTACTCCCACAGGTGGGTCCCAGGGACGGGGACACGGTGGTGGCCCCTCAGCTGGTGCCACCCGACACGCGGGGTGACATGTTTCCACCCCTCCCACCCCCCTTGCTCCCAGTGGCTTTTCAAGCTCTGGGTGCGTTTTGCAAACTGGTTTTGCCCTCCCGAGCGTGCCGGGGAGCTGCAGCCATGCTGGGTGCTATGGGTCCCACTGCCCCCGTGGGACATGGAGCCCCAAGGTGACCCAGGGGACAAGTCCCCCCTCTGCAGCAAAGCCCAGGGAAGGGGGACTGCAAAACAGGAGAGAGTGGGTTGCAAAAGGCCGGTGGGAACAGCGCTGGGGTGCAGGGATGCTCCTGGCCAGGACATCCCATGTCTCCTGGGATGACGTCCCTCCTGGTGGGTCCTTCCTGCTCTGGAGGCATCATGGTGCTTCGAGAATGTCCCAAAACCCAGTGTCACCCCTGTCCTGTCCGTGGCTGACACCTGCTGCCCCCCAACCTGGCGGCTGTCCACACTGCAGACCCTGCGGGTAACACCCGCTCCCGTCCCCCCTCTCCTCCC